ACCAATTGAGAACACACAATAAATCATTAATTATTTGTGCCTAGCATTACTGTTGACCACTAGAACTTATTTATTCTATCTAGCTGTGATTTCATTTCTGTTAACTAACTGGGAGATGATGCTTCTTGTTGCCAGATTCTAGGTGCCAGAAGACATAAGACATTTAAAGGTAGAGAGATTTGGACCAACAAAGAAGCCCTTCTGTGACAATGGGGGGCCAAGAGTTCCCATTACACTGCTGTCTGGGGAGACCTGGTGATTTCTTCCAGGAAATCAATCCCACTGACTCCTGTCCTTGTTCATGATTTAATTCCATGCATATAGAATAGTGCCTGGGACTTAGGTGCTCAATAAATACATACTTGTGGCAGGAGGAAGAAAATTTCATCATATTCCTGTTTTATTTTTGATGGTCTTCAGAACCACCTTCTACTGGGGCTCTGACCAACTGCTTCATTGTGTTATTTTTCATGGAACCCTAAAACTTCCCTTAAAGAAGGTCTCTGTCTCATGTCAAGAGGGTCCTAGCAAAGGAGAATTTAGGTTGTAGATGAAATTAAGGCTGCTAATCAGCTGACCTTTAAAAAGGGATATTATTCTGAATCATCCAGTTGGACCCAATGATTCTTTAAAGTGGAAGACTGAGACACAATAGGAGGTCAGAGTGATGCAATGTGAGAAGGATTCAAACTACTGTTGCTGACTTTGAAGAGGGAGGAAGGGACCACAAGCCAAGGAGTGTGGGTGGCCTCTAGAAGCTGGAAAAGGCAAGGAAACATTCTGTTCTAGGACCTCCAGAAGGAACTAGCCCAGTGAGGCTAAAATCATTTTGGATTTCTGACCATCAGAATTATAAAATAATAAATGTGTATTGTTTAAGAAAAAAGAAAAAAGGGCTCCAGGAACATTAACTCAAAACAAATAAAACATACCAAGGATGTCTATAAAAGTAAGAAAATACACTAGAGTGTTATTGTGATTGTACTAAGTATGTGGGGTATATTAGAATTGTGGGAAAAGTCTTTTCCTACTTTTCTTTTTTGTGCTTATGCAGTAGTTTCTTAGTCAGTTTGGGCTGATATAAATAACAAATTGCCATAGCCTGGGTGGCTTAAACAACACAAATTTATTTCTTACATTTCTAGAGGCTGAGAAGTTCAAGATCAAGGGGCTGGCAGATCCAGTGTCTGGTGAGGCCCCGCTTCCTGGTTTGCAGATGATTGTCTTCTTACTGGATCCTCACCTGGTGCTGAGCAGAGGGAGAGAGATCCTGTGTCTCCTCTTCTTTTTATAAGGACACTAATCCCATCATGAGGGCCCTGCCCTCATGACCTCATCTAATCCCAACTACTTCCCAGAGGCCTTACCTCCAAATACCATCACCTTGGAGGTTAGGATTTCAACATATGAATTGTGGGAGGACACAAACTTTCAGTCTATAACATTTAAATACCTTTTTAAATCTAACATAAAAATTCATAGTAAAAATGTATAAGTATGCTTGTTGACTCTTCTCTGGACTCAACCTCAGACAAATTCATACAGATGTCTGTAAATCAAACTCTTTTCTATCTCCCCCTCAACCTCTCCCCATCCCCACACAAATATTCTGGGCTATCATACTGTTTGTTTTGTAACAAGTGAGTTCCAGGGTGCAACCCTGTGAGCTCTTCCAACTCACTGTTCCTGTGCTCTCTCTGACACTCTCGGGCTCATCCAAAAAATAAAAACAAGGAAGGTTGGTCAAACCATGTACATTTCCACCCTGTCATTTTATACTGTTTGCTTCTGACTCTTCATCTTCCGTCCTGCTCCTGCAGCTCATGGGTTGGGTCGTGCCCTGGCTTTCTCAGCTGTTGTCACCCATGCCTAGCCTGTGTTGAAGATTGTCACAGTTGTGATATTTGCCCACATAACAGCATGTGACACTTAGACCATTGTCTCTCATCAGTCCTTCAAGACTTCTTGGAAGATGGTCATCTCTAGAGGGTCCTTCCTACCTAGTTTGGATAATTGTTGAAGAGGCATTTTAGTGCAGGGGTCCTGAAGTGTGGTCCCTAAGGCACTGTTATCCCTGGGAACTTGTAAGAAATGCAAATTCCTGGGCCCCACCCCAGGCCTACCGAATCAGAAACTCTGAGGGCGGAGCCCAGCATTCTGTGTGGTACCAAGCCCTCCTGGAGATTCTGAGACATGCTAAAATTTGGGAACCACGGCTCAGCTTGGTCTGTCCTCTCATCCTTAACCTCATCTATAAGCAATCTTCAGACACTCAGGGGACAGACTTCTAGGGATATACATTCTATATATATTTAAAATTAGAATTTTTTCTTTATATAATTTGAAGTGGTATTCTAATTGTATTTTCTAAGATTCTGAATTTGTCTGCTTGGCATCCATTGATCACAAGGCCAAACTAGTGGCTAAAGTTGTTTACACTTCCACCCTAATCCAGCTTTCATGTGAAAATCATATTACATGTGAAAATCATATTACAAACCCTCCGACAAATCCCAAGCCTATATTTCCCCTGCTCTAAATCACCCAGGGACAGGTACCAGACAACCTGAGACCACCCCTACAACCCAGAGCCTGCTAACATTATTCAAAATAGCCAATCCCAAGCTGTTTCCCTTGCCCTATCTTGCCTTTCCCACAGAAATCCCAAATAAAAATTCCAGTCTGGACTTTCCCCCTGCTACTACTTCTGCCTCCTGATCAAACCTGGTGTTTCTCCATGTGGTCTTGCATGGTGTGGTATGCTCCAGCTCTCAGGAAATGTAATAAAAATCTTTCAGCGCATTGATCTCTCTGTGTAATCACAGTCATCTCCATAAATTAAAATCCTGTGGGTACATTTTGAAACAAGTGGCTAATAGAAATAGAATCAATGTGACATGATGACAAACAAAGAAATGAGGACATTGGGACAAAGACAAAATAGGAATGGGGAAAATTAGGTGAAGCTGGAAAATATCCTATGTGCAAGCACCCAGTAGTGCTCCTACCTTTGCAGAGGAGGAAGGGAATGGTAATTTAGTACTGTAGTTCACAACTACCAAAGAAAAGAGAACACATGATCATGTCAAGTATTTGGGGAATCCTAGTAGTTTAGAGAAGCACAACTTTTCCTAGTTTGGGGAACTGAGAGAAGTTTCTTTCCCAGGTCCTCATATGGAGACTTTGAGAAGGTAGCATCTTCCTCAACTCCCAAGGACAAGCTGTGGGGAGCCACTTCTTGTACCATCTCTCAACTTAGCTGATGGCATAAACCCCAAAGCGCGTTTTAGTAACCGCATTTTTTGAGTGATGCTCTTAAGGGGTGTGTTCAAGAGTTCTGTCTGGTGTTTGCTTTTCTAATGATCTCACTTCATCCAAAGAATTGGAGAGAGTTGAGGCCTAGCGTTTCTCAACATTTTAAACATGCATAATCTCAATTTTTAATCAAGAAATTTGATCTTTACTTTTAAGAGTTTATATAAATCTAAAATAAAAATAAAAAAATTAAATATAAAAGTATATTATTAAATAAAATGTGGTTTTACAAATCAGGCATCCCTCCCCTCCCTTTCCCCTTTGAATTTTACTGATCTGGAGACATGGACAAAGTGGATACTTTTCAAGAAGGTCTTAAACATTATTTATTGCAGTGGTGACTTTCAGAGAGAAGCTGATCTATAGTCAGGTACGGGCAACTCCATTGCTTTAACAACTGGCCAGACCAGGAAGGCTTCCAAGGTGAGGACTCTCAAGGGAAAGTCAGGCCATTGAGGAAGGCAGGAAGATGGCCTGTGGGTGATGGAAGCCCCAAAGGGAAGGAGGACCTAGTTCCTGGCCAAAGGAATCCAGATTGATGACACCATGGAGTGGCCCTGAATGTCAGCACTCAGGGTGCCCCTGCCCCTCACCCTCCGCAAAGTCCAGTGTTTTGACGTGGTAGGCGGGTATGTGGTTTCGGCACACCCCAGAGCACTAGAGGGCAGGGAACAGGCATGAACTTGCAAACACAAAATGTTGGGGGAGACTCAGTCTCACTGCTCAGACCACTCCTAGCTTTTCGGAGTCTAGAGGAAGAGTTGACAGATTTGACCTCGGCCAGGCAACAAATTTTAGCCTAGCAGGCTGGAGAGGCGGGGACAGCCGCAGGACTCGCATCAGTGGTTGGGCTGAGCAAAAACCTGAGTCAGGGTGGAAGAAAGCAAGGTCAGTGCAGGAGGGCGGGTCCCGAAGCGGGGGCGGAGCCTAGGAAGGCTGGCGAGAGGGAGGAGGCGGGGCCACAGGTGGGCTGAGGTCGGAGTCAGGCGGCGGGGGCGGGCGCGAAGGCGGGGCCTGCCCGCGTGAGGCTGGCGCCTGCGCACGGGGCTTCCCGGGGGCGGGGCTGCGCGCGCGCGGTGCACGGGCCCTGGAGGGCGGAGTCCAGGAGGGCGCCGGCGAGGGAGGGGGCGCGGCGGCTCTGGAGTCCGACGCTCCCTCAGGCCTCCGACGCGATGCTGGCTGCTGCGGGTCAGGCGCTGAGGCTGGCGGGCATGTGACGAGCGGTTCCTCGCCTCACCTCTCGTCCTCGGGCCTGCGGGTCACTGGGCGACCCCTCAGCCGGACTGCGGCCGAGAAGGCAGCGCGTCCTTTGCACGGTGAGAGCCCGGGTCAGGGCCAGAGCGGGGTCCAGGGTCCGGTCTGGTGTCCGAGGAAGCCCTGGAGTGGGGGCGCGGTCCTGGCGAGGCGGAGGCCCGGGCGCCCGGGATGCGGCGGTGGCGCCTTCCGCCCTCTCGGGCTTCCCGGTCTAGCACCCCGCGAGACTCCGAGGCGGGGCGAGCGTGGAGCCGGGAGGCCGGACGCCCCCCGCCCCACGGGCTGTGACAGCGCGCCGGGGCCTGGGGCCGTTGGGGCTACCGCCTTTTTCTGAGGAGAAATCTGGGCGAGGCGAGATACCTAGTGATTTCTGAGCCGGGATGCTTATGAGGGTTGATAGGGGAAAGTACCGGGGTGCCCCGAATGAGTGGGATTTTTTTTTCTTTTTAATTACTGGGTCAAAACAAAGACACGCCCTAAAACATCCTGAGAGCAAACTTTGGTGCATCACACCGTTATCGTAGGTTCAGGTGCTTTTCCTTTTCTCTCCTCTTTAGGCATCTTCTGTTTTCATGCATTTATATATTTTTAATACACCGACTTTCTTGACAGAGTAAACGGAGGAATGACTCCTTTGAGGTGGTCGTTGGTGGCTGAGCCAGAGTTTGAATTTCGATAACTGCAGATTCATCTTCGTAGGCTACCCAGCCAGTTGGGCTTGCTGTCCCTAGACTAGGCCTTAGCAGTGTGGAAATTACTGATGCACAGACTCTTCGTGGTCCCAGACTGGAATGTCAGTGTTTCATTCCTGTAGGTGAGAGAATAGCTATTTGAAACACTTGTTCACCTTTCTTTTTTTTTTCTTTCCTGAGCATTAAAATATTAATGGAACCTGATAATTTGGCCATCTTTAAGCGTCATCTTTCAGACTCCTTTATAAAGAGACTTTAGTGATGGCAACTCTTCTTTAGCCAAGAGGAATTTAAAATACTGTCCTGCATAAAATTTGTACAAAACATTTTATTGATCTGTAGTCAGTATATGATAAGGATGTAAACATTCTTGAGTGTTTTGCCTGAAGTCAGTCTTCTAACTATACTGTTTTCCTTTCTTAATTTATTAACGCTCTTTACTATTCTCTTATTTGGTTGTTTTCTTTAGTGTTCTCAGAAACATTGACTTCAAATAATCTTTAGTTTAAAAATACGCACTTTCTTGAACCCTTTTTGCCATAATTCATACTGTCTTACTTACAGTGTTGTATTAATATGCCATAGAAAGAAAGTGCCAGAAGCCATCCTGAGAGCAGGAACTCTCCATTAATACATTTTTTTATTCTACCTTTTCACATCCAGACTTGCATATTTTGTTTGTTGTCTTGACTCAACTCTTCTGACTCTGAAGTGGAAAAAGGGACTTTGATTCCATGTTCAGAAGTCCTTCAACGACTCTCCGTAGACTATATTGATAAAATTCAGTCTTTCACAGTTTCTGGTACTTGTCTACATTCTAGTTTCGTCTTCTACCATTATGCCTGTCTTCACCACACAAGACTCCTAGTAGTTCTCTGAAGATGACATCTTCCTTTGTGGTTTTACACTGTTCCTCTGTTGAGAATTCTCTGCGCAGCAGACTAGTTGCCCTTCAAGACCTTTCTAAAATATCACCTTTGAGACTTGTCCAGACGTCTTGTCCTTCTTGTCTCCACTGACCATACATTCTGCAGTTAGCATTTTTAATTGATAGTTAATTTATCAATTAACTGTTGTTTATATATGTATCTCCACCAGGATTTTGGGCTTCTTTAGGTAAGGGACCTTTGCAACTCTAGCACATACTGTTGTGTGGCACAGGTGCTCAAAAACTGTTTACTAAATGCATTTTTTGGGGAGTGGTCCCAGTCTTGAAAGTAGCTTTAAGAGAGGCAAAATATGTTAGACTGCCTCTTTCAATATCGGAAAATTTATAAAAGATGAATATACAAGGTACTTTTTAAATATCCAAGAGTGAAGTAAAAAATGTTGCTGGTTAGGAATGAAACCCATTATAACAGGAAACCAGTCTATTTTATGACGTAGGAATAAAAAGGGCATGACCAGTAAGGAAGGAATGCTGTCTCATTGGTCCTAGGACTTTATTTTGAGTGCAGTACTTTGTTCAAAGTCAGTCAGGTAGAAACGGACAGAGCTGGGATTACAATCCAGGTCTTCTGACCATATCTGTGTAGCCCCCATTCTCCTAATTCTAAATCTTAACTGTTTTACAATCTGGGGGTTTGTGAGACACTTGGGTATGTATTTGAAAAGGGGTCTATTAAATTAATAGAATATTTATCTTGAAACAATTAACAATATTTAGTTCAATTTAAAAAATTTTCCCTCTGAACAACTAAAACCTCAAAAGGCAAGTAACATGTTTTGAGATTACTTCCAGTCACCCATATCTCACAGCTCCTGACTGCATGCTTGTGTATTTTTTACTATTGCATGGTGCTTTGGGGGAAAATGAAGTTGCCAGTTTTTCAGAGGGAGAGCAAATCTGCTTGCACCTTCTTTCCCCTTAAATCCTTAGCTGCCACTCCTAGCAACTTAGAGCCATTGAGTGGCTGAGAAAGATGATAATTCATTTGGGGATATAGGAGAAACCTAACCTTCACCATTTCACTTGGCCAGACAGTTTTAACTTGAGTGCTTGGAGCCTTCTTTACAGATGCCCCATAACACGTGGCTTCTGATCACCATATGGTGATCCCGCATACAGTTACATTTTTATGGTAAAATGAGATTTTAATATAATAAGGTTACAGCTGGCTAATAGCATGGCTAATAGTACATGCATGGCTTGTTTGTATAAGAAGAGCCATTTACACTATGTGGTGGTGTTTTGGGAAGAAAAAATTGATGATTGTAGATGCTGCTGAAAAGTCACTTTTGAATTGTGTACTAGTGTGGTAGACCTGATCAATTTCAACAGGCTTTTCATTTTGCAAACAATTTAATGGTCATAGAAATAAGAAAGTCAAAACAAACTTAAAATTTTTCTTCTTATTTTTGTCATCATGTCTACATGATTTTATACTATAAACAAAACATAAATGTAGTGTTTAATATTTGCTTTCATATTTAATGTGTTTTCTTTTTGTGATAGTTTTTATACCTTTAGATTATTATACAGTGAGTTGAGTTACTTGTTAATAATTGGTCATCTAGGTTGCTTATCATTTGGCGGGTAATGCGGTTAGTATACAGCTGTTCATCATTTTGCTTCTTTCCTTTAGGCTAAAGGCTCAGTAAGGGGATTACAAGGTCAGCGTGTATGAAGGTTTTGTCAATTTTGAAAAATATTACTAGAATTACTTCTGAAAGGTATTGATTTACACTGCCTCCAGCAGAGTTCGATTGTCCAGTTCTATCCTACTTTCACAGGCTTTCGCTTTTAGAAGTTTGTGTTTTAGTAATGAAGATAAGGTTACTTGCTATCATCACAACCCATGACAGAAAAGCAAATGAAGTATTTTATAGTTTTATTTCCTTCATTGTATGAGTTGTTCATCCTTCCTCTGTAAATTTACTGGAATTTTCTTTTGAAAAATATTTCCTATCTGCTTAATTTTTGTTATTTTTATTGTTGTAGGCAGTGTAGTTTTACAAATTATTAAAGTCACTGACTTAAAAAAATTTTGTGATTTCATTTTTTGATTGTGAGGTCTGAGGATGAATGTCACTACACTGTCTGATGTATACTTCTATTTTCTTAAGCTTCTAGGGTTCATTTTGTTAAATGTGTATATCTTTAGCAAATTGCATATGCAACTGAAATTGAATTTCATTTATGTGGATGAAAGAAAGTGAGCCAAGATGCTGGGTACTGTTCAAGCTTTATTAAAGAGAGAAATCTGCTGGGCTGTACTCAAAATGGAGGACAGCCCGGGGCTGCCCTGAAAATAGGGGACAGCAGCTATCCTAGGGCGGTGGAAGCTTATATTGATATGTTGGCGCTAAGAATGAAAATAGGGGACAGCAGCTATCCTAGGGCGGTGGAAGCTTATATTGATATGTTGGTGCTAAGAACTGGGTGATGTAATTCTGGGGTGGGGATTGAGTTAGGTCATGGGAATGGAGAGTTCTGCACATGCGGAAATGCCAAAAGTTTCATTTTCTTCGAAACTATGAGGCTTCTTGTAAGAGAGAATGAGGGAGGGGAGGAGAGGAGGTGGACGGTGCCAGTTTGTACTTGGGCTTGTCTAAGATGGCGCTGGTTATGTTGCAGATCTATTATTCCTGCCTTTTAAGTATAGGAAAAAGAGAAAAAGGGTGGAGGTCTCATTCTTCTGAAGCTACTTCCTGCTGGAGATGGGCGAAGATATGGAAAAAATAAAAGATTTATGTTGGCGGACAAAACAATAAGGTGGCGGGGTATTGGTTTCGTGTGGTGAGGCTGTATTCCTCTGGGGAAGGGTCGCTGATGCTGAGGGGCTGATATCCTCCTCGCAGGAACAATTTGGCGATCTTTTGGTTGGTGAAAGCCTGTATACGTTCCTGCAAGAAATTAGAGAAACACCAGAAAAGACAGGGACTAAAAGTAGGATGAGGCACAGTTAGGGGTCCTAGTAGGGGGATAAGCCAGGATATCCAAGGATTCAGTGAAATGGTTTAAGTTGTTTTGGATCACCCCGGACTCATTTATGTAATAACAGCATTCCTCCCCCAGAAGAGGCAGGTGCCTTCCTTCTTGGCTGTAAGGAAGTAAAATAAAGGGCCCAACGGTTCTGTAAAGTGAGTGAGGTGACCTGTCGCTGAAGGGAGGAGATGCTATCTATACTTAGTTCTTCTGAGAGTTTTTTGATAGAATTGAGAGGCAGTAGTAGGGCACACTATGCCAGTTCCAATTGCAGGAAGGATCCCTGCCACAATTAAAAGGTACAATTGGTGCCCTATGGGAGCGAGGGGTACTTCCTGAGAGAGAGGGGCAGAAGTTAGTCTCAGTCCCATCTCCACCCCTCCATCTGTCTGGTGGGTGTTGTCAGGGATGAACCAAAAGAATATGCAAGCCAAAAGAATAT